ATCGAATGTTAATAAAAACCCTAGGCTTAACTTGTAATGAAGTGTGGAAAAGTAACACTAGTTCACCCCCAAGAATGAAGTAGGTTTTGAAATTCAGAATAAAACGGTTTATGATGGGTGTTGGAGAACGACTGAATCATACAGGCACCGTCACCGACAACAGATTGTGATCGTTAAACTTGAATTCTGCGGATCGAAACCCGAGAACTACCAGACACAGTAGTGTGCTTTAAACTCTGTCCATCCAACCCAATTTCGTTTTCCATAAATTTCAGAAGTCAGCACAATGATAACACGAAAAATGGTGCTGAGCGATTTATCTCCCGAAAACGTGGGAGACACCTGATTTTTCGTGATCCGTATAATCCCAGCCGAATCTTTAAAAAAATTATCTAACAGGCTAACAAGCGATACTGTAGCGAAAAAAGACGGTGGTGAGGTATCACAGAAGTTCCATAAATCTTATAAATAGTACGGTGGCAACCTAAGGTCAACTTCAGGAAAGACGTTAGCCGGACAAAAGCCGGTTACCTACAAACAAATTTGAGTTATTTGGACATTCTGTTATGAAGGTCTATTCCATATGAGTTCTAAGACGAGTAGCACTTTTTCCCCAGTGATCTTGTGATTCAGCTGTTCACAGTGTTGCGGACGTTTATGGTTGAAAAAACATTCAACTTGCTTACCCTCGACCACCGTGCCAGGGTAAAGGTTGGAAGCCAGCTGCTCGCTCCATGAAGCACACACCCGAGCACCCGGTGGCAGATGACTCATTGATGAAGGAATTACTTCCAGTACGGCTTGTTGTACCACCTGCCAACCAAGGAGAACTATGTCACTTTGTCGGCCTTTCTTTGGTGAATTCAAACTGATGAATGAATAAGACGGCACAGTTGAAGAAGACGGTGACATAGACAACAAATCGGATTGATAACTAGCCGGAGATGAACAGCGTCTCATCTGACCGGATCCGCCTCCTTGCTTCGGTCGGCAAGACGAGATGGAGTGCAAAGTACTGGAACTTAGGCGATCGCCATCGAGGTGTATGCGAAACAGCTGATCCCTCTTGTTCTCAGGTGGGAAATCTGTCCCACCTTTCATTATACCCGGTACGGCTGTAAAAAGCGAGAAAAAAATGGTCGTGGAAACACAATCTGGAATTTCATTCACTCATGCCATTGTTTTCAGAGATAATACACGTGGAAAGTGTGAACTCCAGCTCGATGAAGCCAAATTTGCACCTATTCGGATTCACACCCGAAAGAATGTTGTGCAGGACAAGAACTGGGTCGAAAGACCAAACCGGCCCATTTACCTGACTCTACTAACCCCATTCACGGATGAAATATGCCAATGAAATCAGTTCACAACGAAATTCGAACATTTTCCAAAAACAACTGCCAGTAACATAGGTTAACAAATTATGAAGTTATTTGAGGCACTGGAACCGGTGAATTGCAATGACGATGAGTGATTAAAAACCACTGCCAAATCCATTCTCTTATTTATCAACCCCACTGTTAGGTTACCTCCTTTTTATCAATAAACATAATAGAAGTCGACACAAAAATATTTTGTTCATCTGACGACTGGGAAGAACACACAGCAGGTTCGAATACTTTCCGGTTGTGATTACCCTCGAGGTCCGCATTCCTCCGCCTTCGCTGTGGAGTTGTTTATTAGTGAGGACATGCTACTCGCATGCCTCATCAGTAGTATCCACCGTCACACCAGGCGTAGCCTAACTTCATTACAGAGGTTATTCGGTTATATTTCCAGCAAAGTGTGGCACGGATGGTTAGCCACTTCTAAACTAGTTTGCGGTCAAAAGCTGACAGGAATAAACTGGAACTTAGTCTTTCTTCAGGTCCCCCTCAACAATGAGTGGGATGAACGCTGGATTCTACTCTATTCGTGTCTTCGTACGTGTGCTGTGTAAGTGAGCAAACGGACCCTTGATTTCAGAATCAAACCAAACCCTTCATGGATTAACCGCATTTCAGCCCATAACAGAAACCTAGTCCGAAAGAAGCAAAAGAAATGAAATTTTCAAAGGTTGTCCAAACATATGCGGAAGCAATTTAAGGGACAGGAGATCCCCAGTGAACTGTTTGCTGATGCTTCAAAGGCGACGGCTTATGTGACTATTAGGCTATTCAAGTTACTCTGAACATCCCCGTTTTCCAACTAATTGTTCTCCACATAGAATGTGATCGGTACCTTGCCTTGTGGATACTCATGCACCCATTCCAATATTCTGAAATGAGATGCTTTCCCCTTATCAGCCAACAGCCTCCCACATTCCTTGCCATCTGCTAATTGCATCTGGCGGCTTGACTCGCTTGACTGTGTAGAACATAGGCATTCTAGGAGGCAAGCTCCTGACTTCGTCCAATGGCTGTGTGCCATAAGACTACGTGTGTGAACCTCCATGGATATATGTCCCTGAGTGCTGTTGTTGACCAACAGTTCCACACACTTTACATCCAAAGCTATGAAAATTATTCACCAACTTTGTGCGTATTGTCTACAGCAGTCAGCTGATTTCACTCTTTTGCCCTTATTTCCCAGCAATGAAGCTCGGTCTTTAACTGATCGATCGAGCTTTACGTCGAATATCATTATACATGTTCACGTCAATCTCGTGTGAACGAGTTCGCGCCTCGCACGTGGGAGTTTGGAAGCTGTTCGACCAAATGTATGCACTTGATGAGCTCTAATAAGAGCGAAACTTCAATCCATCGGTTTCCTCCTTTGGTGTGGGCTCACCAGGATAAAGGCGCCAGGACGAGAGGAGCACTGTTCAGACAAGAGTGATGTGAACGTGAATTCTAAAAATCCCACAACCACTTACAATTAGTACTAATAAATTCAAGATTTTGGCAACCACTCTATGCGTCAACAACCGTTAGTTGACACTCAGCACTGATCTAGTGTGATAATCTGAAGAGCATTTACTGATTGGTTCCCCGTCTGCCTTGTAACCTGGCCAATTTGGTGACCTGCTCACTTGGCCTGATGAAGCTTTTGTGTCAAAAGCGAAACGTTGCCCAAATAAAAACTACCGATTGTTTACCAAGCTCTTCTGAAACTCCGAGTCACATTTACATATTCTTCTCCGTCTCCACTTATTGCTTTCCACATAGAAAAGTAGGCTTTTCAAAAGGGAATTCGTTTGACCAGTACTCTCACTTCGAAAGAAGCAAACAGATGGCTTACTCAGGTAGAACTATTTAGGCTGAGCTAATACCACGACAGGGCGATCGAAATTGCTGGCCGGTCAGATATGGATAGATTGTAAACCATCTCACGAATGCTATGAATTCGTTGATTCTCCAGAAAACATCAATTAAAATTAATTAATTAATTAATTAGGACGTCACCAGAATGGATGTCATGGAAACCGTCCAAATCTCAACAAGTAACTGACTATTCACATACGGAGCCTAAGTAGAAACACTTGATCTTTCGAGTTATTGTGCGGACTAGCGGTTCTCCTCAAGTTCCGGATGAGAACCTAACGATAACAAAGCCCCTTAATAAAGTACAGCGTTGTGAGGGCATGAATATATTTTTGTAGCGTCAGAACCCCATCCGAATGAGCTGTATACCGAGAGGGAAGTAGAATGATTCAAAAAGAATTAATGGCAAGCGAATAAAAATGTTTGTTGATAAAAGACGAAATTAAAACCATATTTTTTTCAAAATTGTGTTAAATCCCACCATAGTTAGAGAGAAACAATGCAGTGAATTACAGACTATTCACACGCTGTCAAAAATTCTGTACTACACCGAATAATTCCGGTTAGTCAGTGTTCCAAACCACACCGTATGACCAATAAAAGATCGAAGAAACTGTACTGGCCGTTCGCAACGAAAAATCAGATGCTGGCTAGCTGATGACAGCCTTCACGAATGTCAAACTACGAGCAAAGTTCCACTTTGGTTCCCCCAATCGCAATCAGATGGTAAAAAGGTGAACAGAAAAAAATGAACAAGTAACATGAACCATTCCCGCCATCTTGTGGTCATGGCAACCGACTTTGTTAGGCCAGTCAGCGCTGAATGAGAGTCACGAGGTTCGTATGCAAATAGCCAGATTCCGCTGCTGCGATGACCCAAAAAGTTCTGGATATTCTGTTAGGAACAGTTGATCAGTTTCGAATCATCCGTGAATTAGATTTGAATGCTTGCTTGTGGTAGCTGATGTGCCAATGGATGATTTTGTATCCTCTTGTAGGAAAGGTGTTACTAAGTTCGTCACCATCGCTAACAGAGTTTGCATCTTTCTAGCTTGAAGTTATATCGTGCCATACCGTTTTGATGAACAGTACTCATAACTCTCGTTCTGTCGATTCTGTATGCACAACACCCCTTCCCAGTCTGTGTGCATCAGGCGGCGAACATTAAACTACGACAGGTAATAGAAAACGTCTTATGTAATTATGTCAAATTTGACGGAGTATATTGATTTGCATTCCATTCCGGTTTTAGCGAGAGACTCACCTGGAACCCAACTGAATCTCTCGTTTATGATGTTCGTAAGCAATTCAGTGTGCTGCATCAGGTCGTCTCATGCTTCAGTTGGTTGGATATTCAAGATATCGCGATACATTGTACAGACTACTCATAAGGTTGCTGAAAACTCTTCGACAGTCCACAAATTTGCTTCTCACAAGGCGACCACTCCAGTCCCCTGAAGAGCGCAAGACGGCGTTCACTGTCACGCACGACTGAGTGTGCGATCCTTCAAACTGGTGACCAACTACAGAAAGTCAAACAAGTCGCAGTTGCCTATCTTGAATCATCTTACGCAAGATTTAGCCAATGTGATGTTCTCATATGGAGGATGCATACCAGCTAAGGCATAACGTAGTGAGGATCATCTTGAATATGTGGGGTCTATTCCAGCATTCTGGAGAACGCTCATTTTGTCGGTTGACGAGGATTTACTAAACATGACAAGGAAGGGTTTGACTTCGGAAACCACGGCACTGTTCACATACTGTGTTCTGTAATCGAATTTTCGATACAGCTTCGGCCATGTGAACGTACCACGGGACTTGGTTGACGTGCCCCTAGACCTTTCAGTCCTAGTAAGACGACGCAGCTGTGCTGCTCTTATCGAGTTGTGGCCTCAGCCAACAAGCCTAACCCAGTCAGCGAAGAGGGCTTGTCTGGCCATGCGGATGTGCTTTGATGACTGTAGTGGTTTACCAGTGCACCGGCTTATGACATCTTCATACACGAGCCACAGCTTCAACGCAGCAAGCGAGGGCGTATGAGGCTGTCCGGTATGCTGTTGTGGTAGCCTTGTTTGCAGAGCTGCGTTCGGGGGTCATTAGTCGAACCGAAATCACACTGTCTCCATCACCTCGCCGTAGTATGTGTCGACAACGACGAAGACCTTCGGCCACCTTACTGAATGAGACAAATACCACTGCATCGACCATCCCACGGAACAGCAGGAACGATTGGTTCTCTTCGGGTTCAGTGGATCTACGGATAGTAACGCTTCTACCAAACTTGTTCGCTGGATAATGTTGAAAAATGCTTGGTAAGATAATCCTTCCTTGGGCCAAACCCAGGCAAAACGCTATGTACTTTAAGCTGGATGAGGCTAATTTCGGTGACACAAGAACAGTTTCGTCGAGTACCCACCTGCCCACCAAAGCCTTGGCTGGTTCATCGAACCGAAGAAGATGGTTCTGCTTGCTGTTCACTTGAAACTGGTTTTATTGCTTGTTTACCCAATCACTACAACCTTTTAGCACGCTAGATAACACACTATTACATTGGTTTCATCCTTTCCCAAACGAGCTCGAGTGAAACTGCCATTATTTTTGTATCCAGCTGAGAACAGAACTTCATCAAAAAAGCTAGTAGCCTCCGTGTGGATTAGATTCTTTCTCCTCTTCAAAAGATTTCTCCTACCTTTAGGAAATGTCGACTTTTAGATTTTACACAGCAGTCTGCCTGACTTGGAAAGCCTTCGGGAGGGTTAACCGGACACTGAGGGTCTAACTGTTCGTAGGCTGAAATATCCGGGATTCATTTCTAATTGATACCCAATACTCCTGTCAAAGGCTCTTTCACCACGTTTCAATTCGACTGAGCTCGCCCGTTCAAGTAGCAATCACGGGATAATACCTCTAGTTGAACGAGTGACAAGCTCACAAGCGCTTGACATGCAGGCATGTCGAGTCTAATTTCTGGCCTAAGAGTCACTAATGAGGTTGTTGCGATTTGAACGAGTGACAAGCTCACAAGCGCTTGCCATGCAGGCATGTCGAGTCTAATTTCGGGTCTAAGAGTCAACACGTTCACAAATCATAGACGTAGTACACTACTGAGGTTGTTGCGACCGCTGGAAACTCGAAGACTGTTAAGTTTCTGCTACTACCTACGTATCGCGATATCGCGAATATCGCACCAATTGAAATATGAGACGTTCTGATGCAGGACTCACATTCTGTTGAAGAGGGGAGATTCAGTTGGGCTTCGGGTGAGTCCCTGTGAAAACCAAATTGGTACGCAAATGAGTGTAGTTGTCGAAACGCCACAAGTCATATTGGAACAACAATGCGGCCGCCCATTTTAGTGTTCTGAAGTTTCTAGTTCCCAAAAAAACGTTGGTGGCTATTTTTCAGCTTTCGATTGCGGGACAAGAATAATTTCAGTATAACTTGGTGTTTGCCTTAACTTAGTTGTTTGCCTTACGGAGTTGCGTTGTTGTAACGGACGCGGATAAGTTGATATCGTCCAAGAAATGTTTTTTTCTTGAGAGTAAAGAAAAAAGGTTATACGCGGCAGCCCAATCACGTTTCGGACAGGCCGATTATTTCGATTGACGCAACATGGCTAGAGCTACTGTCCACCTAGCTGTCTGTCCTTCGTCTGACTTGTGCACAGGTCGATCTGTCGCTGTCTCGGATGGAACGTGGGACCGAGACAGACAGCTAGCATCGATTGGCGCCCGCGACGAACTGCTCCGTTTGGAAGTGTCGGAAAACGGTGTGAAATTGTCTGACGATGCGGCAAGAGAGTGCGCGACGACGCAGTGAATAGCTTGGAGACGGTGCCACAGCGATGAATCGCAGCAGATGTCTGGCTCTGCCCATGTCTGCAACTCTCTAGGAGACGCAACAGTTTGGGCAAGAGTCAGGCCACGTGAGTCATTGCGCATGTTCGCGTCCCTCGCATTGATGTTACCGTCTTTGTTGTCTGTCCCGTTTGATAAGGAGATTTTTAAGTGTTGTGATACGGATGATTCTTATTCCCCCGTGATACGAAGGGCTATGAAACGAACATTTCAGGAACAGCGAAATACATTCATTCGCATACCAATTTGGTTTTGACGGGACACTCACCTGGAACCCAGCTGAATCTCTCGTTTATGATGTTCATGAGCGGCTGAATGTGCTGCACGAGGTCGCCTCATGTTTGAATTGGTACGATATTTGAGATATCGCGAAACAGTGCATGGACGTAATGCACTACTCATAAGGTTGCAAGTAGAACACAAGGTAGACGAAACCCCATGGACTGAGCCTACCTGATGAGCCTCCAGAAAACCGAAACTGGTCGCGGGCTGCTAAAAAGTTTCTGGCAAATTTATGAGTACTGTATTACGTCCACTTTGGAAACAGTTTAACGGTTTGGCCGTTTTTCCCTATATTAATGGGAAACTACAGATGGAACAGCTCTAAAATACGAACTCACCCAGATGCCACCAACTAGTTCAATGTAAAAATCACACTATCCCCGAATCCCACCCAACAGGTATCCACACGGGGTTACTTTAGCTACAACAAAACCTCAAACTTACAGGCAGATTTATCCATAAGACGGGCCTGCCTTCTCCCTGTAACAGAATCAGGCCTGCACATGTAGATTTCATATGGAGGAAGAAGTGACCAGGGTCAGTTAGGATAAGCAACTCCCGGAACCGGTAGAAGTAACGTAACTTGTCTTCGAGAAATACGCTCATTTGCAAATCAATTTGGTTTTCACGAGAGACTTAACAGAATCTCTCGTATATGATATTCTACAACTGAATGTGCTGCACACAGGCAGCCTCATTTTCCAGTTGCCATGATATTCGAGATATCGCAGTATATTTTCATAAAGCAAACTACTCACAAGGTTGCTGAAAACTCTTCGACTGTGCCTACCTGATGAACTCCAAGAAGGGCGAAACCGGGTGTGGGCTGTCGAAGAGTCTTCAGCAACCTTGTGAGTAGTTTCTTTTATGAAAATAACGTAACTTGTCTTTTGAAATAAACTGATTTTGCATAAGCGCAATCAAAAATATGGCATCCGGGCCGGACTGTCAAAGACTTACGTAGCTGTTTGTGGAGGAATAGCGTACCAGCTCGCAAGTGCGTATCTTGGATAACCAATACCCTGGTTCCATCAGAAAGATCCGAGAGATCCAAATCACTGCGCCTCACATCCGGTGTGGGTGGTCGATTCCTGATCCATGATCGATCTTCCGAGGAGCATGTGCTCATTTCCTCCTGATCGTGAAACATGGGAAATAATCGTAGATTCCCGCTGCTACCATCCGTGTGGGTGTCGAAGTGCCCTGAGGAGCATGTGCTCATTTCCTCCTGATCGTGAAACATGGGAAATAATCGTAGATTCCCGCTGCTACCATCCGTGTGGGTGTCTGAAGTGCCGTCGTGAGAGCTGAATGGACGTTGGTCGTTCGGGTGATTTTCCGATAAGCATGGCTGTATAGAATAAATGATTAGGGTGATTTTGAATGAGAATAACGAGATAACGATTTTCGATGCAGTAAGTACAATCATTTTATATGGTTGCCTGTCAGTGAAGAGACCGAAGAAGTGAAGAGGCTACAGGTTTAGAAGACTGCATGGGTTAAACACAGTTCCACATTTTGGAGTGACCACATTCTGTAGCTAGTTCATGGAAATTGAGTTCGAATCGGACGTTGAGATTCACCGGGAGACTTGCTATGTCAAAATCTACTGCAGTAATAATGACAGTAACAAGAATATGAGAGAAACCCTCAAAAAAGGGACAAATCATTCACCTGTGGCCCCATATCAATGCATATTTGCTATGCTGTCTGAATGAAGCAGGGGGGGAGGGTATTGTCAGCTGACCTAATCCAACAACGGTGCGATCGGAAAGTGTAGGATGAGTTCGGACCAAGAACCTGTCGGTCAGTAGCTCCCACTACAACTGCTTGGCTAAAGCTCCAATTCTGAATAACTGACGAACTGACGCTGAATAGCAATGTTTACTGGCTGGTCGGTATTAGGCCGGTAGCTTCAACGCAAGGTTGGAACAAACACAGAAATTGACTGTCCAAATTGCAGATATTTCTCAATATATATTCTATGTCTTAGGATAAACCAGCGAACCAATCAGACGTCACTGCGACTCCCTGGTTGTCAAGATGTAGTCTGGGTTGAAAATACACTAAAGCGTAATGTGTCTGTAGGCTGTGCGAGCAAACCAAATTCGAGTATCAAATCCGAGCATGTCCTTATTCACCTACAGGTGCTAGCTCGCCTCAAAAGATCCTGTTAGGACAGTGGAAAAATACAATCGATCGATCAATGCCTCAGTCAACAAACCAGGTCTAGTTGAGTCTAATTCGGAGAGCACATTTCTCCATGTGCGCCTGTGTCACAAGAATGACGACAAACCGAAGAAAGCAATTTCAGCATTGAGGCTAATCAGAAAGGCTGACAGCACAAATATATCAGTTACACTTGAGAAAGCAATTTCAGCATTGAGGCTAATCAAAAAGACTGACAGCACAAAGATATTAGTTGCAGCTGGACGAACGTGATTGTATCGTCATACATTAGAATGCATTTCTTACAAAGATAATGGAAAATTCTTGAGGAAAATCAATAATGCCCATAACTGCGTGGTCATGCCCAGGCTAAACAAGTCTGTTGACCTGCCAAATCTTGAATTAGTGACAGTTTACTGATTTCTATAGTGTGGAATAATGAATATTCCGATTATCACACAGTGAGAGCGTAAAACCAAAAACAGCTGGACAGAACTTACTCCAGAGATAGGTCCTGACTGAATGCTAAATTTGCGGCCAACGAGCTCCTCCGGGGACTTCATGTTCTCGTAAGTTTCACAAGGAGATGGTAAACTAAACCGAGGGGTATGGCCAAACAAACTGGAAGATGAAGGGGCGGGTGATGACTCTATCTGATCCAGTGGTTTGTCGATAGTTTGAACGGAAAGATGCAATTCGCTCAGGGAATCGTAGCACAAATTGGCTGGCCCTGAAAGAAAATAAGCGGGTTATTAGCGCGTTCGAAATCCACAGATATTTTCTAGTCCACAACCTTCTTTCTAAGTTAATCGAGCCGCATGCGAGGACCTTTTCTTCTAGCACGGTTCTAGGTAGGTAGGTAAATTTTTTTCATGTGTGCCTCCAGAAGCTACGGCTGACCTACCTCAGATAAAAAACTTGTTGCTTCCTTATTTTATGATGCTACAGTAAACTCCGGTTCATCATCGTAGACGGTTTGAAAATCGGTGTCTAAGCTGTTACAATATGTTGACCAACGGTCTCGTGAGGACTGTGTTGCCAGTGAGGACCCTTTGAGAGGGTTAACCCACCATATGAGATTTAACAATGAGTAGAACAAACAAACTGATAAGCATTCTTCTGACCTCTAAATCAGGCACAGTTCGGACAGCCGAACACCTCATTCACACGGTGAACTCACAAGTTGGTGCCAGTATTACAAACCATGATCAACGAATTAAGCTTTAAAGAACGTAATAACGTGCGGTATTGATTTAGTAGGAGAGTCATCAAATAACGTACTCAGAATTGTTTAGCTTTCTTGGTTCATAAAAATACGTGGTGAGTAGCAGGACCGAAATAGCCGGAATCTTGACACCTTCACAAGTTGGTGCCAGTATTACAAACCATGATCAACGAATTAAGCTTTAAAGAACGTAATAACGTGCGGTATTGATTTAGTAGGAGAGTCATCAAATAACGTACTCAGAATTGTTTAGCTTTCTTGGTTCATAAAAATACGTGGTGAGTAGCAGGACCGAAATAGCCGGAATCTTCCGATGACACCTTGGGATAGGGGTGGGGGGTTGTTCACCAGTTCCAAGGTGAAACCCACTGGAATGACAAAGGATGGTTCCATTAGGCTCCCTATCCAGAGGGAGCTCGGTTGGAGGCCAATCTAGCACTGAATCGGATGTTATTTCGTAAACTGGTAAAACCGGTGAGTTCACTCCGCGAACGAAAATCCAGTTACCTGATTGAATACTACCAGAGAAACTAGACAGCTTCAAGTAGCAGGTTGAAAATGCGATTCGACATGCAACCTAGATTGAACTGTCATCGTCCAGGCTCTCATCTTTCGGTGTCATATAGATAGCACAAAACACCGACTTACTCTTTGCATGCCCTGTAGGGGATTTTGACAAATCGGTTTCGAGTTCTTCATGTGTACGATCGTTTGATTTCGTGGGTGAAGAGTGAACTCCGGATTGTGGTGTTATCCCATTTAGCCTCCGAGTTCTGGCCACTTTACCTCGTACGCGTCGCCGAAGATTGACCTTACTTGTTCTCCGAGTTCTTCCGCATGATGTGGTTGAACACGAAGAAGGTGATACGGATGAAGAAAATATCGACAGGGTAGGAGACGTGAGAGATTCGAAGGAAGAGGGCGGTTGTGGTCGATCTACCTCGTTTGACCAACCGGCTTCAAGCTGGATCCAAAATAATAAACAAAGGGGGAAGGGAAGCTTAGGTATTTCCATTGACCAGAACAAACCTCCAACATGCGAGCTTCCACCCCTAAAGGTAGCTGACGATATTTCATCTACTTGTTTTTATTTGAGAAAATCGTCCATCATGTGAAGTCATCTCAAACTCCGACCTGTTAAGCGATATTAAAAGAGTACGACATGCGACAAGTGTGAAATTTCTTCCTGAATGGGAATTTATATACACTGGACACGATATAAATCCACTTGAGACAGATAATGGAGTGAAAAGACGTGGGATGTCAGTCTGCAGTCAGGTTCAGTAGCGTTCTATGGACAATTACGTGAGAGTTGAACCAAAGATCCATAGGCGATGAATCCCAAAGGGGCGAAACTATGATGTTTCCAAGCAAGTGAATATGTTTGATCAGCAACCTTATGAGTAGCACATTACACATATACGCGCGATATTTCGAATATCGTACCAGCTGAAACAGGAGGTGGCCTGATGCAGCACATTCGGTTTCTTAAGGACATCATAAACGAGAGATTCAGCTGAGTTCCAGGTGAGTCTGCCGTTAAAACCAAAATCGTATTCAGATGAATGTATGAATCGAATTTTGTGCAATTTTGGTCCAATTAGGCGCTTCAAGAAGGATGAAGCCGATCGTGGACCATTAAGGAGTTTTCAGTAGCCTCATGGTCAATGCAACGTTGTAAAGTAGCTGAATCATAGCGGTTTCCCTGTCCACATTGCACCCACACGATCAGCATATTCCGGTACTAAGCTCGTGACATCTGATTCGATTACACTGTGTCTTTCAAATCCACCTGCTCTGTCTTCATGTCGCGCGGGGAAGTGGAGGTACACGGCCGGTCTTTGTGGGCGATTCTGAAAAACCCGATGCAAACTTTTCTCGTTTGGGCGGCGGGCTAAGGAAACCAACTAGTATTTTTCACTAGGCCACTCGATATTCTTCAGACCAAGGCTAGGTATACACACTTCAACACAACTTCAAAATATACCCATGACAGTTCTGTGATTTGAATTGCTCCGTCGGCCTAACCGCAGTGAAGGACTGTATCAGAGTCATCCCATTGAACCTTATCACCCAACGGTGAGCGAATATAGGCTGTGTGGTGTATTTACCCGCTGATTGCTAAGCTGATTCGAAAAGAACGCAGTGAAGGACTGTATCAGAGTCATCCCAGTGAACCAACGGTGAACCATTGATCCAAACGGTGAGCGAATATAGGCTGTGTGGTATATTTACCCGCTGCTTGCTAAGCTGATTCGAAAAGAACCAGTCACTGTTCATACCGTCCCTGACGATAAATCCGGGTTCGCGTGTCAGATTGGGTTGTATAAGCCGTAACCCTCGAATCTGGAAAAGCTGGAAAGCTTGGAAAGCTGGGTAGCCGAAATCCAACGTATATGATTCAAAACCATCAGTAATTGATGTACACACTGTGGGTAAATTATGATTCGGTGAGGGAAAGAATGAAGCACGGATTTGTCTTACTAGCAAATGTCACTGAAAAGAATTAACCCGATATCTAGAACTGAGCAGAGTCAGTTTGTACTAACTGAACTGTATGAAACATAGATCACGTGGCCGTCGATCTGTTCACGAATATTGGCAATTCGCTTTCAAACGTTTCGTAGGCAGCCAAGAGAACATCAACAGTACGTAGTTAGGTGGGGAAAATATGCCTATAGGCAAGTGCTAGCTTGTTTTTCCAAGAAATTCTGTAATATGCATCACCCATTTTGAATTTAGGACGTTTACTCATGAGTTCTAAAAGGGTTGAATTTGTTATTACCGACAGTTCCAGTTATAAACACATTTTTTCGAAAAATCGCTATGAGAGCGTAGGTTGTAGCGCCTGTTCGACTCAAACCAACAAAGGCGAGATGTGTTTAATTTTTTCAGACCACCCAGCTGCCGAATTTAATGTACGGTTACCTTCCAATCTTAAGACCATCCTTGGAGGGAGTCAAACTTGTTCAGTGTCTAGGGAGTGACCTCCAGAACGAGGGCGGTGATCGTCGCCTTGCGAACTGAGTATTTGCCCTGCTTCGCTTCATGTGCCATCGAGTTCACGATGGTTCAGGAACTTATCCTACTAGTGATCTTGTATCAAAACTGTTGTTCCACAATAGTTCAAGTATCTAATGCTTTTCAGCGGTACGTCCATCAGCAAGGATAACTACTGTAACTCCATTCACTTGAGCAAGTGACTCAGGGATTGCAAGAAAACATCTCACCAGTACAAAGGTAGCTGGAATTGCTTGCCTGATACGACCTGCATTCCATTAGATTCATATGAGACATTAAATGGTTATGTTTAGGAATCACGCCGAGCGAGTTGCAATTGCCCCATCAAATAGGTTTTTTCTTCTGTCTGAGTGAATTCCGGCTTGCTTCCCAGACAACCTGTTTCTTATCGCGAGTTGTCGCACGATTCCAGTCTCCAGTCATGTGCTATACACAGTAACATCAAAAGGGCGGTATGCTGTGAGTGCTGTTTCGTTTGCCTCACACATCTGCCTTGCTTCTTGAATCTTCCGATTGTGAGTAAACTGTAGTGCGAAAATCAGGGAACACCTGAGTTTGAACGAACTTTTTAGAAGTGCCTTTTCACATCTCCTATTGATGAAACAACATATATGCGCGAGGACAGGTGGCAAACCCTTGTCGGGTTTAAGACCTGAGTGGTCGAAACTGAAGTCCGCGATGTTAGCCGCTGGGCTACAAGGGGACAACACGATTTCAGTTAGGGAGAACAACCCAGTCACGTTTGGAGTGATGACCACTGTCGAAACGGGGTGGTGTCAAACGGTAGCCACTCCTGACCGCCTTCAAGACTTACTCATTGGTATGCATGCCTTCATGACTGTCAAGTCGTTGGATCACAATTGACTCCATGGTTTAGCAGAACCCAGTTTCCCACTTTGCTTCGCCATTTAATGGTGCACAGGGAGCACTCACAGCAGCAGCAGACTGCTACAACTAGTTGTGCAATTACGTGCTCTGCTGCACCATTCCATAACAGCCGTCAAAAAACTCATGACCTTCTAAGCTTATTCAATAAAACCTGGTGCAGCCACGAACGTAAGTGGGGAGTTCACAGTCTCATGGCCCTAACGAATCGCGTGACAAGGATTGCAAGAATAGGCGACTGCTTGTGTGCTTCACCATCGCATCATCGACAGGATGACATCAGTGTTCAACACCGATGCTTCACTACCGTACGATACTTCACTGCCGTAGAGTGTTATATGCAATATCTCTTTTCCAAGATCGATTCCAAGATTTAAAAAAGGACCACTTGGAGCCAGGTAAGCAGGTATGAGCTATCCCCCAATAGTGATGTACAAAAAAACGTTCTACGACCTTGCCACCTAGCACTTTCAAAATGCAGCGTACCACAGTATGTAAAGGTTTCCGCTTCGGTTGATCCTTCCAGCGTAGACTACTGTGTGCATTCTCGTGGCGCCAACAAGCTCCACTTTGCCATTCAGGGTAATGTCAGCAGTACAGAGTCCAAAACCATGTGAAGCAAAATTTGTCATCGATAGTAGGTCGATGGCTACACATGCCTCAGCGAATAAGTACTCAAAAAAGAAGGCCTGGTGGTATACGACCTTTCAAAATTGACGTTCGATATCATAAATGTTCGAATAAGGTGTTCAAGCTTCATCACTTCAAAGAAATTAAATAACCGAGTTCGTCCCGTATCACCACTACTCAGAGAACCAACGCAGATTTTCTATACTGTTTATGTTACGCATCAAATAGAAAAATCCAGCTAGGCGAAAAGACGCGAAGTCACATGATGGCCTAGGTTAAAACGATTGACCGAAGCAGCTGGCGGTTGAAAAAGGCACAAGCAAGAGGTTCTCACTGAAATGATAAATGAAATTAAAGGACCAGATGTGTGTCCACATATCCATGGGGAAAATGCAACCCAAACTGATGTGTATTCCAAAGATGAACTGTCCATGTTTATAGGCCAGTCAGATGAAGTAACCAACCAGATACATGTCCAAATTTACACAGGAACGTGTAAATCACCTTCTGGACCACGGTGATGGTGTGTGGCCTACACGCCCGACCGAAAAACGACGAAAGTGTGTTCATCAAATGGTTTAATCCAACGCTTCAATCCAGCTTATTGTGCATTTCCTATTTGTGTCACCTAACCGGATTTCACTGTCTTAAACCACACCCGAAAAGCCGTTTGATTCGATCCTCTGATTTGTTGAGGAAATGAGCGTACAGGCTTCATTGAACAAGTGCTTTACAAACAGAGTCTGCAGCCATAAAACCTCGAGAAGAAAACGGAAGTACACTCATCGATTCGTATTAGAATTTCTGCTAGCCAAGTTAACTAGATATGCAGACGCAGCTCGCTGCATCGTATGGAGAATCAACCAACTTTGCCTTGAGGCTCGGCAAGGTCGACCTACCGTAGCTGTTAAATATTCTGCAAACATATTGCCACAAATCAGAAAAGTGCAGTTGGGCAGTACGACATAGTTTGTTCACCATTACAGGCTTTTCGGCGCGAGACAATCGTAGAATGTCGAATGAAGAAAACCAGTTTGGTTTTAACGGAAGACTCAACCGAATCCCAGGAGCACTACCCACAAGGTTCCTGAGACCTCTTCGACAGTCCATGACCAGTTTCACCCTCCTCAGGACTCGTCAGGTAGGCGCATTCCCCAAGTTTCCGTTATCTTCATATTCTACTTGAAGTGAAATTGTATTAAATTCGCGAAATATACTTGTGAATTTCATAGGATTTGGGCTCAAGCAGGAAATAACGCTGACGGAACCTCGGGTAGTGCGCCCGCCTGGCGAGTCCCAAGAAGGGCGAAACGAGTCGTCGGATGTCGACGAGTTTTCAGCAACTTTGTGAGGAGTTACCTACAAGAATCCGTGGCTGACCATCTATACGTTTAAACTCCAGGTGAAAACCCGCGTTCATGTGTGTCCCAATGGTGAGAAACCACCGGGTGTGTTTCTCGCGAATATTGTGGTCACATTCACTATCACCATTCACGACTGAATTTAAAAAAGGTGGTGTTGAGCAGTAAAAAATTGAACAAACCCACAACAGTCCTGACAGAACGAGTTTAAATATTTCGGGTAACAACAGTTAGGGCAAACTGAATCATACGTCACAAAACACACTGGTACCCCAACAAAGTTGGCGATGAGCTGCAAATTCGTACTAACGCCGGGAAAGCTATGTGAGTCTGTAGAATCTTCGTCCTCACTTGAAACCGGACAACTTCATTGTAGTCTTGATAATCGCTCGAATTTGCGCATAATCACCTCATTGTGTGTGCTTCTCCCTGTGCTACGTAATTTATCTCAGTCCAGGAACCCGCTGACCAACGGTGAGGATACTGATGTCATTATATCCCGAAAACAACCAATGGCCCGCTAGGAAATTGGTAACTATGAGATATTTGTATTGACGGAAAAACACTGACGTCGTTAGGTGCATGCTCCGTGGGTAGATTATTTTAGAGCCATTACATTAAAAAAAACTTCCCCCATGTGCGTTCGTCTGAAAACAGCGAGGGTAGAAGAGGAATTCGATTCTACGCAATAGTCGAATTTCCGATGGTCATAATGAATAGGGACGTGAGTTAAAATGTCCTCATCATCAGATATAAAAAGTGAAGAATTTATGGCTGATATAGCTGCTGAGGTTTTGTGCACCAGTTAGTGACAGGACTGAGGAGTGTGCGCACCAATCGTGGATGACAACTCTAGGCACTGTGGTGTAAATCCAGCGGTGATGGGAAAGAAAGTCTAGGGGTGACTTCTGCTTTCGTATGGTATGGGGTGCCGATGCAAGCAAACAGGCACAGAGCCAGCTCCGAGCAGTAAGAGAGCTGTCTTGCATCATGCAGGTGAACATAGATTTGTAAGTTCCACCTCATTCACGACGGACAACAGAAGAGGAGGGTCATCGTCTCTTAACTATAACGCATAGGATATTCCTTAAATGAATGTGTCAGCTGAGTCTCTCGTTAACATCCATGTACTCTGCAACTGAGTGCATGCAGTTAGTTGCGTCCAATTAGGTGTTCAAGTAGACCTTAGATTGATGGTGGTGTGAGAAGATCTGGGAAGGGTCAGGTGAGATTCCATCCTGTAGGCGAAGCCCATCTAAGATGAAAAGCCGAGAAAAACTGTACAGCTGTTTCTCGAGGAGGCAGTGGATAAGTGACAACGTAGTGCGGTTCCTGGCGCTATATCCTGACCAACTGAAAGCTAATCACGTTGCTGATCAGCCGCTCGTGGCGTTCAAAGGAAGTCGCGGGTTCGAGGCTCCCTGGATTTTCATGAGATGCGCACTGGTGATGATTCCCAATAAGAATGAAACGGCTGTACAGTGATTCTCGACTTCTCAGCACAGACTGGCCTTAGTGACAGGAAAAAATCTCCAAAAATGCCCATTCATCTCCTCACACTACCAAAAATCTATAAGTAGCTCAATGGAAGAATAAACTCCACCCGATGAGAAGTCGTTGTCCGAGGAGCCAGTCAACACGTGTGATCGCCTGATGTGGATCCTGTGAATGAAGGACGAGCGGCGCTAAATCCTGCCCAAGTGCGAGTTAATCACACCGCTAATCAGCCGCTCATGGCAGAACGGTTAAGTGTTCAAACTATTAACCAGGCCTCACTGACAGGAAGAAATCTCATTTCCGCATAGCACTGACCATGCATACTAGATAAGCCTCAAAAAAGCAGAAACCAGCAACTGGCTGCCAAAGTATGCTAGATCCCCAGAATATACCGCAACATCTCGAATATCGTCCCTGCTTAAAACATGAGGAGACTTTTGTGCAGCACATTCGGTTGAAGACTATCAGAAACGAAAGATTCAGCTGCTTCCCTTGTTAAGACCAGTGTAAGTTACGACCGAGCGTATCTCACCGATATGCTTGACACACTACTTGTTTTGGAACACCGGACACAACATATAAGGACTTTGTATAATTTAGTGAAAAGAACCTAATCATTCAACTGAACTGTGCGAACTGAGTGGATAGTCATTCTCTCTAAACTACTCTCTTGGGTGAAGGTATGTGGGATATCGGTCGGTTACAACCAAGTTAACGTTTTGTGTCTTTTTCATGTATTGCGCCGTTGTGTAGATCATGCTAGTCGCTAGAGGTATGTGTGCACATTTATTCAGGTATTTCAAGGTCATATAGTGTTGCCAGATTCTCCTTCATACTCTCACATTGAAGTAAATTGAACGAAATCATGTGTAGAATATTCAGACTATGTGTACGTGAGCATCGTACGTCGAAACGCAATAAGGGGATCAGTAGTGGACTCGGGTTTCAACCTTATCATTTGAAGATGCTCTTACATCGCTTGGAATACGAACATGTGTTCACGCGCGACAATCCTGGTCCATCCAGTGTCCACCGGTGGTATCACGGTGGCCTCAAAGTCTTGAGTTCAAATCTCAGTACGATAAAGTGTGCGCACATCTGACGATCCGTAACGAGGGCGAAGCTCAAGTCCAGTCTTTCGCAACTTTTGGGTACACGGACCATTATCATTGCAATAGGAAAAGTGAACCGTTCAAATGACAGCGATGTGACTATGTAATGCGCCGACCTCGCAACTACGAATGTGAATGTCTATTAAGTTCCGGGTTATAAACTCACCGTTGAATCTGGCAGATCATTCATGGGTTCGATCTGTATGGCCAATTCACCGGGAATCTTGGTCAGCGACTCAGGAAAGAACTGGGCCGATTGCGAAATTGGGCTTCGACGTGGTACTTCAGTGCCAGTTAAATGGTTGTCTGGTCTAGCCATCGTGTTTGGATCAGCCAGATGAGTAACAAAAGAGAGCAGTGAAAGCGGACATTCCAGAGGATTTGAGTAGACTTTTGAGTATTCCCTTGATCCGGCGTGACTGGAAGTCAGATACCGGTAGTTCATTGCTCCACCTTCGCTTTCTGTACAGTCAGTGGTAGATCCGGGCCAGATGTGCTTTAACTTTTCAAGAAAAGTTAACCTGCGTTGAGTTTGATTGGTGGTAGGCAAGGAATTGGAGTTTTCATTAGAAATTTCGTTCTTCTTGTTCCGCGCTTGACGAGCTCTCATTTTCTGTAATACACGCAGCTATAAACGGAAAAATGAGGAGAATATATGTAGGAACCGGTCACATAGAACAACCTTTGTTCAACAAAATCACTAGTAACTTGCTGCAGGTGCATTTTTAATGGGTACAAAGTATTTAGTCCTTCCAGTTGTTGATGCGTTGTATCAGGCGACCGAGGGATCATGATGCTATGATGTGGTGTCGTGCAGCGTTTAAACTGTACAAGTGATGACTAACAAGAGACTTGAACAGTAACAACAGCAACTTCAAAAAGTGAAGCTTCTTGTTCCCGTGTGAATGAACCTTCAAAATAATTGGAGATAACGTTGTTTGTCACAGTAGGACTCGTTGGAACAGGGGAAGATCGTCTCCATAAGAAAATGACGGGATAAAACACAACAATGTAGCTTACGAACCAACACAGTTAAGCTGTCGTATCAAAGCTTTCCAATGTTTACACTGACGAAACATCTGTGTGTACGCAACGGTGTGACTGAAAAGCCCCGTCTGAGTAACCCAATTAGCGGCGGTATCGATGGATTTCCCCACAAAATGTTCTGTCTATATAAACCTAAAATAGTTTGTTCAAGGCATACCAGTAAAACAACGCGATGGGAGATGTCGCTTTAAATAAGAGAGTTTACAAGCCTTCGGTTCCAGGGTTTTTTTCTCGGAACAAGCTGTCGGAATTCACTGAATGCCATTTTTGTTGCATCGACAGAAGAAGTGGATAAATCACTTGCAACTCATCAGAGAGGATAAATGGAATAATTCACATGTCTCCAGCCTCGTGCAGCTAGCGGGTTTAATGGATGTTGCTTCCAATTTCTGAAGGAGCATTAGTTGTGTAAATGAGGAGAACCTGTTTGGCTTGCGTCCCCTAGCAGTATACAACCAGGAAGATGGTTAGGAAGACTAGAGTCCGGAAACTTAGATTCCAAAATCTCTGACTGGTCGGCGGCGTACTAATGCTGGTTTATCTCGAATAACTTGAGAAAACTGTCCTGCCGCGGTCGTTCCCTTCTGCTGTAATCATTTGGAGTGACCAATCAAAAGTGACCCCTTCCGTTAGGTGATCTCTCCAGAGCAGGATCCAATAAAAATGAAGGAAATTTTTGTTACTGATCTTAGATTTTCCTTATTTTTGCAAAGCCTATTTCAGCGTCATTTCAGCAGCTGTCGTGTCACCAGTTTCGCCCAAATGATATATAGTTTTGACTAAATTGCTTTTGAAAATTGCTCACTATGTTTAAGGGAAGCTTTGATTTCAATGAAAACCGCCCCGGAATATACCGCCAAGTTAATACTTTTGTGGGGAAGCTCGGGTAAAGAAAAACCGGTCGCCGGAATCCATCCAGTGGTTGATGATGAGGATGGCTGCGGACGAACGGAATGGCTTGTCTATGATCAGAGCCTAAACGCAACTGATTGTCACATGAACTCCCGTTCGATTCCTGTATCCTGCGCCACGTACCGGTAGGCTTCTGGCTATGGGTCGCGTTGAATCTCTAATAGTCCCAGAGCATTACTAAGTCCCCAAACCTATGTCATGTCATGTACTTTGGCCCCGTAACGCTTAGGACGGCTTATTACGTATCATCACGCACCTTATCTATTCTGCAATATTGTACCGATCAGGCAACGGCCTACGCTTATGTACGAGTTACCAATGCTAACAGTTTCGCTACTCGTAGGACGGAAGTAGTGGTTGATAGTATCGAACTAGGTGAAAGCCACTGTACGTAGACCCTTTTCCTGTTGTACTACAGATATGTTTCCGAGGACTAACAGCTGATTCTTTCGAGCCAGTCGTATGGAAATCTGGGACAACAACATGATCGATAACTCTAGTTGGTATCAGAAGCATTAGGGTATGTAGAGCATCACATAAGTGACCGAATTGGTGCAGGTAAAATTGTTTTGTCCAGTCTCCTCATAGAAAGCCTTAAAAAATGGGAGCTTCTGTAACACAGAAAAGCCAGATTGTCAGTGGAACAGATGAGGATTTCAATTTTATGATCTCTCCTTGTCGTAATTCTGTCTGAAATTCGCCTTAGAGACTGGTCCGTGCCCCAACTAAGGATGAGCCCAAAGCGGCTTCCAGTGGAGAGGTAGCCTCCAGAAGGCTGTCGCCCCAGAAAGAAACGATTATGCCACGCAGAATCAGTTGTTGGTTGTTCCTGTTCGCTGATTTCATTTTGCCTCACTGACAAGCATCATTCGCTCCATCCCCTGAGATATCCTTGAAGTAAATGGTTTCCAGAGTATTACGTGGCATAGGACTAAAAAGCCAGAGGCTTTTTGAAGCAAAAGACTCCCAAACACCATGAAATTCTGACCATACACCACGTTTAAAACAACCAATCCAACGAACAGGAGGGCGATAGACTTGCTTCGCTCTTGACTCTAAGGGTTACCTAAACTGCTAATCGATCCCCATGGGGGACGTGACGGTTACAAAATGGTTTGGAACTGAGCCAGATGTCAATTTGGGAAAGCGTCCCGACCACTTTAATCCATTCCTTCTTCCGAATCCTTATCTTTGTTGTCATTCACTCGATTCGATCCCGTCTCAGACTCCAGCCAGTTAGTTTCCCCATCATCCAAACCACATGATTTAACCGTGTCTGACCCTCATTTGCAAACTAATTTGGTTTTGCAAGAGACACACTTGGAACCCAGCTGAATCTCTCGTTTGGGCCTACTTGATGAGCCTCAAGAAGGGCGAAACCGGTTGTGGGCTGTCGAATTTTCAGCAACCTTATGAGTAGTGCGTAACGAATATACGTGTCCAACCGTTTCTCATCCACCAGATGTCCTTTCCACTCACCATCGTCTCCTATCTGCGTCGTGTTATGCGGGTTGTCAAATGCACAACTTCTCGGTTGTCCCGTTTCAGAAATCAGTAGACCATCATGGTATATATTTTATTGAACTTCGTTCTGACTGTTCTCGGAGCATTCGAATTCAATTGGAGAATCCGTTTGACTAGTTCCTCTGACTCGATCGCACCACTCTAATTCGTCTCTCTGGTTGGACCAAAGATCTCAACGGGACAGCCTGACAGGATTTCATCATGGTCATAAAAGTGATCAAGTGCATACGGGGTCTGATAAAAATTTCGTTCTATCTGCAGCTACCGTTGGTTTTTGAAGGTCAGTTCCTTCTTATTGATTACATTCTGTGCAAAATAATTTAGTCCACGTTTCGGAAGGTTTGCTAAACAGTTGGTTAATTACGAAATGGGGGTGATGGTGATGAGTATGACCGCCATGTGAACTCCGAAAATGAAGAATAAGTACATCTTCAATAAAGGTCAGTGCACTACCAATCAGCCGCTTAGAAGCCGAAGGTTTTGGTCTTCAATTACTGGTCGAGAGGTCGAGGGCTTGAGACCTCTTGTATATTCCCAATAAGGACAAAACAGCTGCATAGTGCTTCTCGGCTTTTCGGCATTGATGGAGAAAGTCTGTATATTCCCAATAAGGACAAAACAGCTGCATAGTGCTTCTCGGCTTTTCGGCATTGATTGGAGAAAGTCCGGGTGACGATTCGTTGAATGGATAACAGCCATTCGAAATCTGCATAAATTTATGGAAAGTCCTAACGTCACTAAAAATAACCTAAATCAATAATTGTCCAATACGTGTCGACAAGTTGTGATACGTGTAGGCTCGGAAAATGTTTCCGTCTTGTTTTTGCGTGCGCCAAGTTGGCTTTAAAATGTTGTCCGCTCGAAGGATAGCATAAACAAGTAGGAAAACTCAACCAGAAAATTAGTGTATTTACACACGGTGCAAACAGGTGAAGGCCAAGTCAACAATATTCGATTGGTCAGGAAGAAAATAAACAAAATGGAATGAAAAATTAAAGCAAATACACATTGCAAAACGGACGATTAAACAATGCACAACATTGAGGTGACTGCAAAATATGAGTCTTGGTAGAAGGCAATATGCTGCATTGAGCAGTTAGAAGGTCACTGAAAAACGTGCTGTTAACTTCAAAAGTAGTAACAACAAGTAAGTCAGTTAGTGCTCAGTCAGGATGTACAAGTCATCACTTCTGAATACGAAAGAGTGGCAGGGTGAACACTGAGAAGACCGGATTTTTACATTTTGAATAGGACATAACAGCAGTCCAAAGTTTAACATCCCAAAGATGTTCAGCATACAAGGCCCAAATTGGCTGAGCTGGTAACTCACTAAGCCTTAAGTTAGTGAACAACTAAAGAAAGCTCCCCAGGAAAGTTGTTTGAGTAACAGCCAAAAAAGACGCCTAGTAGCTTCCCACTGGTTTCAACGCTGTCTGAAGCCCTCTGGTCTTCTGGTTCGGGTGCATCCTCTGTTCTCGTAGCTTCAAAATATTGCAAAACTTGACGTTGTCATCGACCTAGTTCCTGGACCGATACTGTTCAGTGTAACTACTCCACTGGAATCTACAAAAAATCAATATTTACGACAGCCCACCGGTCTACAAGCCTGCTTTGGTAACTGTGCCTCCAGGTGTCCAGAATACCGCAGAATTAAAGTAAATTTGCTTATCTCATCCTTTCCAAATCGCCAATACAAGTGACTGTCATTAAAATAATTTTCGATTCTGGTTAACACTACTTCAAATTTACAGTTGTCCAGGTTCACAGAATGGAACTTTCCGGTGATGAAGAAAAGAAGTGTTGGCGATGGATCTTCGGATATACAGGACAGTAGTCAGACTGCTTGATTCACATTGGGTGAATTAAGCTGACATTCGCTTCCCAACACTCCAGCCAACCTAATACTGTCCTAAATGTTCCCGGTTCCCCCAGGTTGTTAGGTAGTTCACTAAATTAAGGTAGGATGGCAGATCTCGCCCACCAACATATACGTCAAGAGGACACAACATTCCCGATCACCATCTTGCAATAGAGCAGGAAAAAACAATAAATCACCAAGTAGTTTTTTACACCTATGAAGCAGATTTTACGTAAATAATGGAACCCGAGAGTCGATTAGGTAACTTGGTGAGCATCGCTAGTTGAATCGTTAACTAAGAAGCGAATAGTGTTCTCTGCGTTCAATGTTGTATACCAACTGGACGGTCTTCAGCAGCTCCAGTTCACACAGAAACTCCGCGTCATAGAAATGTAGAGATTGGAAATGGCGCGGGAAACTCCATCCAAGTGTTCCAATGTAGCGCAATTCTTCAGCAGTGTGTTTAAAGTCTGGTAGAGAAGTGACCATCCGTAGTATCGCCCCACTGACTGGTCTGAATTATAAGTGGACGGATAAGAAATGCAGCTACCACAAATAATCAATCAGGGACTGGCCGCCAAACCTACTTACACATGAGCTACAAATGGCCAGGGTTTAGATGCGAGGTAAATTGACCAAAGTTCATCCATCACACACCACACCCTGCAAACCGTTTTTGGTCCACACCCGATCCATATGCATCCAGTTCGTCAACGATGAATAGCCGGCAAATTCTCTTCGCATGACAGTCTCGTAAAGGGGTACCTCCCCTGATAATGATCAATTTCATCACGGGGATACAACGACTCCGTTCACGGGTGAACACTTCAAATCTACATGGAACCGGCCAAATTGCGTCACGTTTTTTAAATCGCTATATTTTATTCTAACGCTGTCCGAGGATGGCGATAACGGAAGAAAACCGGTTCGATGGGTTGGTACAATTTCAAATGAGCTTTTCAGCTCACTTAACCTGTCTATCTTTTTATCGCTCTCCGGGTACATTGGGGAAACTAAACGCTTTACCACAAACAACGTCCTGTAACATTTTTCTCAATTTACCCGTTATCAGGATCCACAATATTCGATTCAACAGTCTCCTGAAAATTTCAGCTTCCTTTCTGTACCAGCGGTCATTCTGCATTAATTTACGGGTCAATATTGAGAGATATCGCATGACGTCGCTCCGTTACTACGGTCAGTTTACATTTGCGTTTATGAACTTCAGTCTCGACATAAAATAAGATCTTGGAAGAATAATATAGGTACAACTAGATCAAGAAACCATTCGAAAATCGGTGTCCTGAAAAGAAGACTTATGCCTCCCGAACCTGTTCTATTTCCGAAGATACGAATCCTTTCGATTGGTCGTATGTGCTGGATTGTATGCAACACGACATTAGCAAAACCAATAAAACACTGCTGAAAGTGATCATAACGGCAAGTCACGTGGTCTTTTGGAGTGACCGTCTCTCATTGGTCAGCTTTCTAATAGGATTCACGCCGTGTTCCGAAAAGATCTACAACAACCATACCGTTTCGCATATGTCACGTACCATGCTTACTACGTAAGATTAGATCCTTACATTACTATTTGACGTCTCGGGCACCATCCGAATACAAAACACCATCAGATGTCATTAGACCCCCTCTCTACTACACAGTCACATTACCGGAAATCGTTTTTGTGTGGAAACAACTCAGCAACATCCGTTGATACTTAACAAGGCCAGGTGGGATCTTGGGTGGTCGACGATTGTCTGTTCAACAAAAATCAGAATTTTTCATACATCGATTCTACAGCAGTTCTAATTCACAGAGCACCTGATGACAGCTAGCTGGAGGTCATCCTGTGGTGCAAGCGCGATTCTAAGCAAGGTCGTTTAACCAGTCTTGTAAGATCGAACAACTATTCCTTATAACCTGATTTGCTGAGCAGTCAAACACTCGAAGATCAACAGCTGTGCCAACGTGGGGGCTCGTGCAGAATGGTGATGTTCGCCAAGTTCTATCAACTTCCAACAACTACTTAAAATACTAACAGAAAAGAAAAAACAGAACCAATCTATATCATCTGTTCACTCAATATTCGGCACTTTATCTGTTTCATATTCCTAGTATAGCCGTTTTACCCAAATTTTCGTTTCTTTCACACTCAGACATCTGTTCCATTCAAAGTTGAACTCCAAAACTTACTGAATTACTTTTGCAGGTGGTTACCCACACAGTTCCAAAAATATACACGGTGACTGACATATCTACTAGCTTCAGTTGACAAAGAATGAGAAATCGATGGGACCATTTTTGCAGTGCGACAAAATTATTCCACGTGTTAAAAAAACAGGAGTTATCACACACAGAAAGTTATCACACTTACTTTTCGCTTCGCTCGACGTATCGCACATGCCAATTGATTACATAGGTCCTGTAATTGACGTCCAGTTGAGGAAGGTTTACACAGATCGGGAAAAATATGTGATTCTGGTTGAGTGAGCAACACTTTGAAGACTGGAGAGAAACAAGATGGCGATTGGGTGATAGTGTCTTGAAGGTTCCCAACATTGTTCGGTAGATTGTCCCATGCTGTACACAAGTCCGAAGGATCAGCGAACTTGGAAAGCAGCTGGTCCAAAACGGACTCGGCTTCTTCCAGTTGAGCCTCAGCATAAACACATCGAGCTGCGTCAATAAGATTGTCTAAAGTATCGGCAAGATACGGAGATGAGGGCTGAGTGTCTTCATCACCCGCCTCTGTCGTTACTGCTTCTGTGTGTTTTGCTGATGACACCTTTACTTCGTCATGTGGCAAGGAGGAAGGGGAACTAGGTACTGATGAAACCTTCTGAGTGGGACAAATGTCCTCCGTCTTTGTGGTCATCTTCGCGTCGTCATCCTGTGGAATGTCGACCCGAAAAATTTCGGATCGTGTCAAACAACATGTTTTGTCTAGTTTGTCCTTATTAGCGAAGCATTGTTCCGGAAGCTCGGTCGTTTTGAGCGCACCGCTGAATACCGAAGAGCTGGACTGGAGTTGAAGACCCTCATTGTCTAAAACACCAGGAGACAGATAACGTTTTATACTTATTTAATAAGCGATCGGCAAATATTTACTCAAATCCGATATACTAAATAGGTTTCTGTTGCAAATACTCTTTAGAAGACGTTTACCATTTGAATATTCATGGATCTATCCACAGACTGGCACGCAGGATCGAGGCTTTTGCTCGAGCCTTCCTGGTCGGATTCGTTATTGTCGTTTAGCAGCAAGCTGTACGTACTAGTCCGTGTAACCGACGAAATTCACATAGACAAACACCACTAGTATGCACAGGAATAAGGGAAATTTAAGCATATACAAACACCGCTGCCCCCTACAAGAACCGATTTTCAATCTCCCAGTTTTCTCGGCTGAAAAAAGTTATGGCCAATTTTGTTGAACCATCTTCCGACAAGGGCCGCCCTTATCTAGTTAACTGTAGTAAATTATTGTTAACTCATACTTGACTCCGCGGATAGCTGTTTCATCCCCCGAAACAGTCTCCTCAGGTTTTCATACCTCCAACGCACCAACTTAGCCTACTTGGCGAAATGCACTCATTTGCATAGCAATTTGGTTTCGACGGAAGGCTCGCCTGGAACCCAGCTGAATCTCTCGTCTATGATGTTTCAGAACATTCGGTTGAGGAGCATCAGCGTAAACGAGAGATTCAGCTGGATTCCAGGTGAGTTTTTCATCACAACCAAATTGGTATTTCACTAATTTCGTGCAATTTGGGTTCAAGTGGAGCATAAGGTTGAGGGAACCTCGAGGACTGCGCTTACCTGACGAGCCCCAAGAAGAGCGAAACCGGTCGTGGGCTGCCGAAGAGTTTTCAGCAACCTTGTGAGTAGTATATTACGTCTATACAACTGCGCGCACTCTTTACAGAATCATATTTTCATGGTGGAAACCGAAACATCTTCTATTCTGTAGCCACCGAATACCAGCTGCATATATAGACTCATTTGTGGCAAACAAAATCATTTCTAACACACCCACAGTTTTTTCGGATCACTGTTGATTTCGACAATTCCTTCTTCTTTTTCGTCATTGTCGCATGCATTTTCTCAAGATAATATCCCTGCGAATTTCGCAGCAAGTCACAGCTGCACCGAGTTTGATTGAATAAGGTTGTCGGGTTTTTGTTATATTTGGGAAGGAGTCGTGTGGCACATAGAAAGGGTATTCACTGGATGAAGTGTGACAACTGTAATGGTTCATCGAAGACATGCACGAGTAGGCCATAAACAAAATGACATGGCGGAGTGGACTCGTTTAAGTAGGCTTTAATAAGGTTGGTCGGCTCCGAGCCAACCTTTTGACAGGCGTATACAGGTGGCCACTAAGTGTAACTCTCTGAATCGGCCGACTGTCACCGCCTGCTTCGACGTTAGCCATCATATGGAATGACACCAAGTTCCACAACTGAACTGAGACGACGTGGACGTCTAGCTGCCGTGGTCTGCCCACAAAGGCATTTTCATAATGAGAACGTTTAGGGTAAAGGGATCGAGTGAGGTATAAATAGGACCGTTTTCCTCACTTTACCATAGCATTAATTCAAATGGACATAGACATGATTTCGTCGCGGTACAGCGCTCATTGTGCGCATAATGGATGAATATATAGCTGTTTGACAATCAGTAAGGACGAGGTTGCCATCTCACTCGAGAAAGAAGCTTTTCAACTCGTCTGGCAGTCACCAACAATGAAGGAAAAAAGAAGCATGAAATACCTCACCAGAACTTCACGGAAGATCGGTTTTATCTGGGCAACTGCTAATAATATCGTCTTGTTGACGAGATCTTTGATCGTTTTTCTCACCTTTCCGTCCAAGTTATTAAGGTTCTAGTCAAATTATTGGAGGCCAATGCGTGTTACAGCACTGATCTTCGCTGATGGACGTACGACTGTTAGAAGTGAGTTAACTGGGGAGTAACTAAAAACGAGAGATCTGTCATCAATAACTTTCTTTCTTTGTCTTTCACAATACCTTCGACAAAAAACAATCTTTGTATTTGTTTATTTGTAGCAAACTAGGTAACCGAACCACAATGGACTCAAGAGGGTACAACAATTGCTTCGTTCGTAAAACAAATTGTTCTATTTTAGTGACCACACTAAATTAGTGGTCTTTTTACAGGGGATAAGTGCATCCGGAAATTCACCAAATTATCTGAATTAATAAGTGCTTTCCGCCGCTTTATCCCAGCTCGCACTCCCGAAATGCGGGCCTTGGTCTTCATGAAAGCATGTTCATCATCTGCTTCAGTCGTTGGTTCCAACCCAGTTTATTGCGCGCCCGTCTAACTGCACGTTTCCCCTTGAAGTGATGTCTTAGTGGGGCACTTAATTCGGCTGTGTCAAGCGTACAACCTACAATCAGTGACCCTCGAAGTAGTGGCACGACCCAAGACCGGAACTTGACTCATCTTAGCAAGCTTCACTGTTGTATAGAACCAGGTTCTCAGTTCGTTATCATACCGGTTTGTAACTTAGCTCCTATACAACACGAAACACTAAACAGCGGTTGAGTGGCAGTAACCTGAGTCGGAGTGATCCACTGAAATATATCGTAAATATACTTTGCGACGCTTCTGATGTGACTGGGTCAAAGAATACCTGTAAGGGAGTAAACAGGTGGAGTGAGTGACGAGACAGATGTTCACGAATTGAATATTTTCTGAAAAGCTGACTGGTTGGATAGACTAAAGCGATCGTGCCGTTTTAGTGTAAAAACTGCCGAAGGAAAACGCTCATACAACCGACCTGAATTGAACTGGATCATCATGTTATTCTCACTACCTTACTTCAAGAAAGGTACGAAATTTCAACAAATCGATGAAACACTGCATTGTTTGTCTATCATGCATGTGGAGTGAAAGCCATGAAGCACCGTTGGAAATCACTGCTGGTCCTTATTTGTCTTGTTCAGAGGATATTTTCCATCCGACGGTATCAGATATCAGTTGAAGCTTGAACCAGCAGCCTTGTTAACATAATTTAATTGCTATGCATTTCTTATCAAGTTTACGGTCACATCGAGCATTTTACGGATCTGGCGTATACCTTGGGCTAAAAAGTTGTTCACAGTCGAGTTACCCGTGGATAGTGAGGTTGCTTCATCTGCCTTGACTGGTGAGAATCAAGCTAGAGGCTGTGTTGACCACATCTTCACACTCCGTCAGCTGTTAGAGCAACGCCACATGTACGGACTACCCATAATCCTGGTATTCCTTGACTTCAAGGGTGCGTTTGATTCTGTTGATCGATCAGTTCAACTTAGTCATCGATGAAATGATGAGACAAACACTGGACAATCTTCAAATCCCCGGTGTTCAAACTGTTGATGGTGAGAGCCTTGTTGATCTGGAGTACACAGATGATATCACCCGCATCTTTGAAGACCACAGCGAAGCATAAGCCCCGTTGAAGAAACTGACCACCATCATACCATCTTTTGGCGTGCGCCTTGCACCTTCAAAGTGCAAAGTCTTGCTTCAGAACGTGCCATCTGCGAACATATCCCTTACAATTCAAGGAGAACCACTGGAGACTGTGGAAAACTTTACATACCTCGGTAGCTGTATTAGCTCCAATGGAAGTGTGTCTGATGAAGTCATTGCAAGAATCGCAAAGGCTCGAATTATGTTTGCTAATTTGCGTCACTTGTGGTGTAAAAAAGGCATCTCACTGGATCTTAAGGGTCATGTGTACCAGGCTACAGTAAGGGCTGTGTATGGGTATCTCTGCGGCAGATGATGTTAGGCATCTTCAGGTTTTCGACCACGGATGCCTCAGAAGCGTGGCTGGTTTTGGATGGCATCAGCGTGTTAGTGACGAGGTGATTAGAAAACGAGTATTTGGTTGTGCTGCAGACACTTTAATCCGGGAAAACATTCAGCATCATCGACTACGATGACTCGGTCATGTGCTACGCATGCCGAAACACCGTCTATTGAGACTAGTGTTGTTCTCCATGTCTCCTTCAGGATAAAGCAACCCACCACCCCGTCTGTGCTTGGCTGGAGACGTTGCAAGAAATGGTGGCTAATCGATGTCAGTGGCGTTCTTGCTGTCAGTTTCTTTCCAGATTGTCTGACTGAGCGGTTGGAGGTGTAAGCACCTCACTATGCTTGGCATAGGCCAGCACTAAGTTCCCTCCCTCACCCACTCTTTTTCTCTTCTCTTCACCGTAGGGCTTTTAATACAATTATATATATATATATAACTAGACGAACCTTATGGTTGTACGGCAGTGAAGTATCAGTGCCAACACTGATGTTACTGTCTTTGATGATGATGATAATAATAATAATAATAATAATAATCACCTACAAACCAGAAACCATGCCGGTCGTTGGACCCCGGACGACAACCACGCGAGACATTTCGTCTTTATTTGACCCATTAGTTGATGGCTTCATTTTAGCAGACCCACCTAAGCCCACATAATAAGCCATGAAGATGAAAGGCTTCACGTCGATGGTCTCTACAAGATCTTGGCGCGCATCTATAATAAACTTCCCGTAAAACTTCACACCTACGTTATGCTATTTATCAGGTCCTTCACACCTACTGAAGACTGTTAAGAAAAAACAATCTCACTATTCAACTCAATTCAGATGGTTACAAAAAGATTCGTTCTAAATTCAAAGTCTCCAGTCAGTGAAGTGACTTTTTTGTTGACTATTGATCTATCTGCTTCGTAATGGCCAAATATGGACAACCTAGTTAGTGCCTGCTGTCATTCTGTGACCAGAAACTTGTTTTTTTTCTGCAAATCCACGGAGCTGATATCCCACCGATGTCATACATGAAAGCAGTTAAAAGCACATTAGGGCCAAAAACTCCAATCAGCCTATAAAGCAACATTCATTCCTGAAATTTCTCCATTGTATCAGTGTATTGGTGTATCTGCTCACAGCTTCCAGGCTTTTCGACAAATACAGCTCCAGCAGTGCAGTAAACGAATAGGTTCGGCTGGTTTCATCGATGATGGTTTCTT